GCGTTGAGACTTTGGGACACCAGACCAGACTGTTGATATGCAGGAACATGGACAAAAGCGAGATAATTGCAAGTGTGAATTTGTATCATGTGGCATTGTGGATGCAGGATGGGGGAGGGATGCGATACTCTCTCTCTCTCTCTCTCTCTCTCTCTCTCTCTCTCTCTCTCTCTCCCCCCCCCCGTGTTGATGGCGATGGCTTCCATCTCTCACCCGTGTGCTGTTTGTTGAACAAGGTCACAGCCTTGCATGTATGTTGCGACGACGCGGCGGTCACGACCTCTTCAGTTGTATGAATGGTGCATAAATATACGTCGCATGGTTGTTCGTCAATGTACTGAATCTAGCCGGTTGCGAATATCTTCCCTTTTTTCGAGTAGAAATCGAGTATCTTTATCTTCCCAAAAAAAAAAAAAAAAAAAATCTTCATCTGTGACAGCAAGGAGCTTTTGTTGTCGTGTATACTTTTCCAGACTGGTTTGATCGCCTTGCTTCCATCCCCAACTCCCTCATTTCCAGATTTTCGGAACAGCTGGTTATCTCCATCCACCCTCCACTCCAACGAGCGATCGCATGTGCGTAAGTGGGAGGTGCAAGAAGCCCGGACTCATAGTCATCGGCCTTATCTCTTCCCTCACGATGATCAATATTCTTCCTTTGCTCTTCCTTTACTTCTAGAGGCTTCGTTTGTTCTCTTTGCCCTTCAAGGAAACTGTTGTCATTCATTGACCGGCAATCCCAGAGACACGGAAAGAAATGCGTATGGTGGTCATACCTCCACACAATAACCGCTTTGCAAGGTATGGAGGTACGAACAACAGTCAGATGCTCGAAACTTCTTGTACACGCAATGCACAGAACAAGAGAGTGAGGAGAGAAACAAGTGGTTGGGACTGTCTTCCTCAGACTCTGATCTCTAGGTTGAGGGTTCAAATCCCGAGGCAATTCGTTCGCTGTAAGATTTGCACTTCGTCCCTGCCCCGTTCCACGTGGGAAAGAGCAATGAGTGGCCCTGCAACACACAGTTTTTTAAGTTTTTTAAGTTTTTAAATGTTTAATCACATGCCTGTGTAATGAACCAAACTCACAAGAGGCTCACCATGTCAAAACCACGCATGTCGTCTCTCTCTCACACAACATAGTAGGAAACCTGCGGCAAAATCCAACCAGAATGCGACAGAGATGGAGACAAAGAACAGAAGAGGAGGAAAAACTCGATAACAAGAATGAATACAATCTCCGGGTCTTCCATTCCCAAGTTCATCTTCGACACCCTTCTCCCACCAGCTGCCACCTCAGCAATCAGTCTCCCCTCGCTTGCTGTTGACGAGTTCTCTCTGCAGCAGTCTCTGTACTCAAGTGGTCCCAACCTCCAGGATGAACATCAATGTTGGAGGTTGGTGCACATCGCGACCTGTCTTCCAGATGAAGCCGCTTGTCTCAATGTCACCAGCAAAAGTTAAGTCTGGTAAGTATCTCCCTTCTCTCTCTCCCTCGCAGGTCTTAATCACTGTAAACCTCGTGCTCTCTCTCTCTCTCTCTCTCTCTCTCTCTCTCTCTCTCTCTCTCTCTCTCTCTCTCTCTCTCTCTCTCTCTCTCTCGCGCGCGCGCGCGTGCGCTCGTCCAGCGCTATCCTGGAGCAGCGCTCAAGCATCCAGCAGTGTGAGACGAGAATGATTAGCAAGCTGGTACAGGCCTAGATTTACACTGTTGACTTGGCCGGACCTGCCTCACGTTGCCTCTTCTTTCGGTGGATCGGAAGGCATCCAGAATCAATTTTCGATTTGCGGAACAAGATCATGTTGCCTCTCAAACCCGTTCTCTTGCCCGACCTACCATCAGGAGTCCATGCCCATCATTCTGCCCCTCTTACCCGTCCCCTATTTGCTCTTCCATTCTGCTTCTTGAAAAAGAGGTCAAGAATGCTTCCAGCCCCCCAGGCAAACCTCCTTAAATATGGGGAACTGGCATTTAACTCAAAAGTTCAAAACCCTTTTATTGCTTTCCCAGCTTGTTGTGTCTCGCACCCTAATACCTGGACGAATTCCCTGAAAAAGAAAACTGCTTGTTTACCTGGCTAGCTTCGACCCTGATCGATTTTGTCTTTTGCATAACTCTTTCGAAATACTGTAATCTGCCGTCTCCTTCATCCCCTCCTCTCTGACCCTCATTACCTCCAAACCTCTTTCCCCCCGGTCCACGATTATGCTCTCATAATACCTCCCTGCCCTCAGTACTCACTTGCCCTGCCCTCGCAACATCTCTGCTTTCCGTAACTGAATTCTCGACTTCGCCAGCTATAATCCCTACTCTTTTTCGCCTTCTTCCACAAAAAGAAAGAATAAAAGGAAGAGGAGGAGGAGAAGAAATAACAAGCGTGGGAAGAGGAGGAGAAGAAGAAGTAACAAGCATCGGAGGAAGGACACACTCACACACACACACATACACACACAAACACACACACACACACACACACAC